GGTGTCACTTCTCTTCAAATACTTAGCCACAGCTTGCATCCCGCGAGCAACTAGACTTGAATTCATAACAAAAACAGTGATGCTAGATGATGTTAGAAACAGCCAATAAGCTATGCCGTGAAAAGGACAACACATCTATCATGTAGCAGCACCCCTTTCCACGGTCTCACAACCCAAGTGCACGGGCTTGGCACCCTTCTGCGCAGGGAAGTGCTCTTCTCTTCATTTTGCACTCTCTCTCTCTCTCTTGATGGATATTCATGAATCATTATTCAGCTTTGGCCATGTGTTCCTTCTCTGTCACGTGCCTCAACAAAACTTAAACATTGTGTATGGTTGAGCATTTTGCCTTTCGAGCTTGGCGGTTTGTTCAGCAACCCAGTTGCCTCTGCTCCTTTAAGACCCAAGTCGTTGCCACACAACGCAAGAAGTAACAGGTCATTGTCGACAACGGCAAGCAGTAAGTCCTGGCACTGCGGAGAGAAAATTACCATGCCTGCAACTATGCGGCAACAAACAGCGGCAAGAACACAAGAACCGTGCATCTGCAAAATGACAAACTGTATAACCTCGAGCATGCCTTCATGAAAGATCATGAAAGTAATATGTACAGCAATGCTGGCAATGCAGTTGCTGCTGGCAATGCTGCAGGCAAAAAACTCATGTGACACCATCTTTTCTCAGCTCCCCAACGCTGGCTGGGTGATTTGCAACATGCATTCGATTGTCAGATCAGCAATCACAACTTAGGAGAAATCTGCATGAAGTTTTCCGGCTACAGTGACAAGCCTTCAAAGCTTGCAACAAGACGACCGAAAACCCTTCTCAATTTTTTGGTGCCTGGATCCCAGCTGAACCAATCTTGTTACCTCGAAGATGGAGATATCTCACGGATTGGTTCATTTTGAAGGCTTCGGCCAATACCTGGCAAACAGACCGCTCTCACATTGATGGACAATGGCTGCAACGAGTTTTCAGACCCAGGGCTTAGGCAGGTTGGGATGGGTCAAACCATACTGTGCAAACTTATCAACCAGACTGTGACACATCGCAAGCATAGTACACTTATAGATGCAAGACTGTCAGGTTCGTCCACAATCAGCCAAGTCCCTCATAGTGGCCTTCGACCCTTCATCTGCAAAGTTGTTGTCATCAAGGAGTAACTTTTCGACTTGGGTTGTATCTTTCTTCAAATACTCTGCCACAGCCTGAGGCTGCATCCCGAGAGCAACTAGACTTGAATTCAAGCCAAGCATGCTGCAAAAAGGAAACACATCTATCATGTAACAGCGCTATTTGTTGTTTCCTTTCTCTTGATTGATTGATATTAATGATTCATTATTTATTATATTCAGCTTTAGTCATGTGTTCCGTCTCTGTCACATGCCGCAACAAAACTTAAACAGTGTGTAATGATTCAGCATTTTGCCTTTCGAGTTTGATACTGAAAACATGTTTGCAGGCTCAACACACTCAAAGGTTTGTTCAGCAACTCACTGGCCTCTGCTCCTTTAAGACCCAAGTCATTGCCACACAATGCAAGAAATTGCAGGTCATTGTCGCCAAGGGCATGCAGTAAGGCCTGGCATCAAGGAGAAAAAGCGATGCCGGTAACTACGCGGCAACAAACGGCGGCAAGATGAACAATAACATATATAGATGTATGTATATTCTACACAATAAGTGTGCATTGTCAAAATGATAAACTGTATAGCCTCATCGATGCATCGACGCACGTTGAGCATACCTTCATGAAAGTTGTAATCACAGCAATGCTGGCAATGCTGTTGGTGGCAACGCTGCCATCAATGCTGCTGGTGGCAACGTTGCTGGCAATGCTGGCGCTGCTGCCGCTGCTGCTGGCAATGCTGCTGCTCGCGATGCTTCTGCTGGCAACGATGCTCCAGGCAATACAGCTCCTGGCAATGCTTCTGGCAATGCTGCTGCTGGCAATGCTGCTGCCTAAACCTCTTTAAGTTCCTTGGTAGCCTAGCGAGGTTTATGCAGTTGGTCAGTATTGATGTTTTCTTGCGAGTGACAGTCTTGCTCTGATGTACTTCTGATGAATGAAAATGATCATGAATAACGACTCAGTTGTCTGTGGAGAGTCCGTGTACATAGACCTCGTCCGTGTACAGTCATTTCTGCAAGCATTATTTCGTGCTTCCCCGTGCTTGTTCCTCTTCTTTTATGACTGTTGCTATTACTATGACTATTACTATTACTATTACTTTCCTTCTTCTTCTTCGTCTTCTTGTCGAGAATGGTCCGTGGATGCTTCAGTTCTCATGATCCGTGTTTTTTTGTGGCAGAAACCACTACCATGAAGACCACTTTACATCCTGCCTGTTGCTCCTGGCCTTTTGCAAGGTGCGCGGGTAGATTTCAGTCTTCTGTGAATGTGGTCTGATTTCAGTCACCTTTATAGGTCTTAGTCTTTGTCTTGGTCATGGCAGTCGCTTCAGAGGACTTGTCGTCCCGACCCTTCCTCACTCAGTGGCGATGCTTCCAGCCGACACATGGTTGTCACTCAGAGAGACCCGAAGCAACGGAGTCCCGCCATGGTTTGGTCGTTTTAAGTTGTCACCATAGTCACCATAGTCACCATAGTTGTATGTCACCAGCATACTACAGCATACAACTGTCACCATGGTTGTTTGGCATACTACATAACCAGTGGCACCATAGTTGTATGCTGTTGCATGTGTGCATATGACTTTGTGCTGGACTCTGTTTGCCTTGAAAGGAGAAAGGCGCATGTGTATGTGTGTGGGTGAGTGAGTGTTCTTTAATTTGTTGCCTGCTGTGTTCGTGGGTCCTGTTTCTGGCAAGAGCATAAGGATCCATGCAGCTACAGAAGACACTGCTTGCCTGGACCTCACAGGGTTTACGTGGGTTGTCGCATTGGTGTGAGTTTTGTGGTCTCTTGCCAGCCAGCAGCTGGCTGTCATATCTTATGTACAAAAGTCTGCCAAATTTCCGCTTGCACATCCACTCCAAGCATGCTCAGTGATTCAAACTGAAAGTTGCACGATAGCCTAAAACTCAAGCATTCGACCATTCACATATTGGTCTGCATATAGACTAACATTGGTTGCGTCATCGGGAAAAACAAACGCACACGTCGCATAACACGCTCCATGCAGCTCCGTGGCCTTCGTGCCCGCGGCTCGAATGTGATTGCCAGACATGTCAAGGTGGGTAATTGTTGTGTTTCTGATCAGGCCTTTGGCCAGATCCTCGGAAAAGACGCGGACAGCTGACGGATCTGGATTCATTCAGAGCCAAGGACTGGTGCACATCAAGTGTGCACGACTGGCATATAGGCTTACATCTTGCTAAAGCCAACTGAATAAGCCAGGCACCTTTGACCACTTCGATGAAATGTTATTTGAGTTCATCCTCAGCAATGAGCATTCATAGAGCAACAAGGAAAGCGAAACCATGCAAAACACCTCTTGAAATGTCAAAACCCTCCTGCTCTAAACCCTCCGGGCAAGCCAAGATTCTTGAGGATTTCGACCCCCTCCAGATGGAAAGCCGAGAAGATGGCCACTATGCCCTGAAGGCCCGCCAGCAAGCGAAGTTTGCAAAATCTCCAAATAGCTAAGTCGTGAGTTAGCTGAGTTTGGGTCAGTAACCCTATGAAAACACATCGCCTACCCAGAGTACCAAACTTCCCCGTCCCCTACACAGCTGCTCAAGCAAAGCTCCTCCTAAAAGTAGCCAGGCAGCTTCGAGGTGTGTACTCTGCTTGCCCTGGAGCTCTCCAACAATCTCCTTTTGCAGCGTTCTGTCGTGGGACTCTCTGGTTGGCACTGACATGGCACTATGCTGCGAACACGCTGCTCTCTACTCCCTTCTTCTCGGAAGCTGCAGTAATTCTCCGCAGCAATTGTTGGTTGTCTAGCTTGCCAAGAATGCAAGCAATCTGGGGGCAAGGGGTTGGATTACAAATGTGTGTGTGTGACCCACAGTTGAAGCAACAAACTAGGCTCGTGGTGCGCATCCTGTGCATTCGACAACAATGTGTTGGCTTGTCGTCACTTGTGTTCTATCTTTAGCACAGGATGTAACAATTAAGAATGCTATAACATACTGCCAGCCCGACCAGAAAGGAATAGGTGAAATGTAATCGGAAGGCCCTGACAATTTGGGGGTACTTGCCGTTTGCAGCAAACAATTCAGCCCAGCATCTAATTCCCCGTAGTGGGCGTTGTGAGGATTGCTTCTCATAGAATCGAAGCAGTCGAGGAGAATCCACCGAGATCTTGCCCAGGCTTCCTGGTCGAGGAGTGTGCTTTCTGTGCACACGAAAGAGTGTGTGTTTAACGCTCAAATTGACCACCTCTGAGTTTGCCCCAGTTTGGAATGACAAATAGGAAAGACATTCTTGGGTACCTTCTTTTAGGGCCCAGGGGTGGGTATAGCTCTAGCTAAAGTATCCTGAAGAGTGTCCAGACAGACCTGGGCAAAGTGTGCACAGCAATGTGGAAAATCTGCTCTAGGTGTGCTGTATTGATACCAGATTCATCCAGATTCCAGATGAAACAAGGCAAACACCTGCAGCCTAGTTTGAAACAACCCCCTCCGCTGTATCAACACTCCTTCCGAAACGTAACAATTTGTTCCCACCTCCCCTCTGCCCCCTTTGAATGATGTGTTCTTGCTGAATCACTGCATCCGAGCGTCGTGTACCCTTCTACCCTCATCAGACTCATCTAAGTCTGGAATGAAGCCGTTCAAACGCTTACCTAGGCAAATGAAAGTGTCACAAAAACAAAACACAGTCATGCCATATCATGCCACGTTCTTCTGAAAAGGAGAAAATCCCAGAATTCCAAAGGGGCACACAGTTGGTTCCTCGTTCAACGCTCAAAACACTCAAAACACTCCCTGAAATCGTAAGGCCTCTGTCATCCCAGGAATTGGTACAGTTTTCATCGGTCTTTTTTTCTTGCCAAAGAAATTGACTAACCCAGTAGCTGTGAGGACAAATCTCACGAAATAGCCCGGATTCGGAGTCCAATTCTGCCTGACCACGTTCAATTGTGGCTATGGACTGCAGTTGTCAATACCTTCAAAACACAAACTCTTGATGGAGGCTTATGCAACCTTACGCCTACATTGCCAAACTCAGGTCCTTCTCCTTTTTGGAACCAAGCTTTAACAAGATGCTCGGAAAATTGATGGGCCCTGGGCATGGCATGCAGCGCCTCATGAGGCATGAATTGTGGGAATACAACTGAATTGACTGAATTGGTGACTCAGAACAAGGAAGATTTCTCGACCAACAGTCAGCCGTGCAAAAGAAGGCGAAGGTGGAATACGCTTGTTTGTAGAAAAACTGTTCAACGCATTTGACTAAGGGTATGTAGCAGAAACCAACAAAACAAGGTCAGTACAAGGGCTCACTCCCTTGCGCTGCGTAAACGGGCGTGGGAAGCCGGTGTGTGAACCCTTTTTTTTGCGCGCGCTCGCATACCGCGTGCCATGCGCATCTTGTCAGCTGGGAAATCTGTCTGGTTCATCCTGTAAGCTGGCTCTGGATGTCCAACCTCTCAGGCTGACTTCTTGGGACGGCAGAGAACTTTATCATTTGATTCGAATGACCAATAGCTAACCTTGTTACCTACTAGTAAGGCACTTGTTACTAGTAGCGATGCACTTGTTACTAGTAGCTTATTGTTTCTACTTTTGCCTCAAGAAAGTGCTCCCAGCTTTCTCCAATCCCCAGGACTCGAAGGACGAGGAAGGACCTCCCGTGTACCTCCAGACATAACGACCATATCGACGTCGAAACGGAACGCGTCGGAGGGCCTCGGTCCTCAGCCGGTGGAATTCCACCAAGTCTGATTCTTGGAAAGCAATGTCGATCTGCTCGGCAAACTTGGCCACAATGAGGCGCTGGACAGGATGGAAGAGAGCCTGAGGACGGTTGGCGCAGTTGGCCAGCCATGCTGCTGGCCGCTCAGATAGCAACCCATGGTCGCGGTTTGGAGGACGAAGATATCTTGAGAACATATCCACAGCGTTGGCCATGATTGGCTTGGGACGTCGCCCTTTGTTTGTGAAGCCCAATGTGTCTAAGAAGTTAGACGCACCAATTTTTCCCAAGAAGCTATATATGGGGCAGCCTTTTTGGCTAGTAGAGTCTCAGGTCCATTCCAGCAGGGTCGCACTCACGTAGCTGGTGGTGCCACAGACCTCTAATTTGCTGCTTGGACACCAAAGTGCAAATGATTTGGACCGTGGGCACGGCCAAGTTCAGGAGCGCAACCATGACACTGCCACCAACCACTTCCAGGTAAATACATGCCATAACCTCATTTGGAAAGGTTTATCTGCGCAAAGAAACGGCACCTTTCAACCTGAACAGGTGCAGCTTTTTTAGCTTCTCCACCGCAAAAACGATCAGCAAAGATTGCGACAGTACAGCTCAGCGCGCAAATGGCGACAACAGGATAAGTTCACCACCCGACAAGAGCGCCCATTCCGTAAAACATGGTCATGCGTTCATCGCGCGATTCATTCAGACTTGTACTACGCCTTTCTGGCAGGCAGATAAGGTCAAGAATTGCTGAATCCCCCCGCACCCCGCTAATTCAACGCGCCGGTCAAAATGTCTGGCACGCAATGTACTGACATGAATGGCTGCGTTTCCTCCACCTGTCAGACAAGGGTCTTAAGATTTTGCATCCTCCCCACCTCCTCCTTCCTCCTTCCCATCTTGCGCTGCGCCGCCTCCGAAGACGCCATTGTCACCCGCGCCTCTGCGGTTGGACTGCAACCTAAACCCACTTAGCTACAGCAATCAGATGATTTTGCTACACTCATACTACATGCTACTTCCGGAATCAGCAAAGACGCCAACCAACAAAAGCAAACCAAAACAAACAAACAAACAAACAGACAGACAGTGGACAGACAGACAGACAGACAGACAGACAGACAGACAGACAGAGTGTGGTTTACCTGTACCTTTGCCCGGTCTCGAACACGTGCCAGAACCTATTATACCAGAACATGCATCAGACTACAGAACACGTGTAGTGTCCCTACAAGACATTGATGCCAGAATCTGGACGCAGAGCGTTTGTAACCAAACATGTGGAGTGTTGTTGGTTGGATTTCTGTCGTGTGCTGACATGACTGGCTATTTTTTGCCCATGGCCCATGGCTGCCAAAATCAAAAGCCGCCATTGAATACTGGATGGAACGTTGAAATGGAACCATTCTTGCGATGGCTAGATAGGGTTTTGAAGAACCCGGAGAGGCATTCAGTTCTGAAACGTTCAACCCTGCCCAGGTTCCCAAAAAGAATCTGACGCGTGAAGCGCTGAAATCTGAGGCAAAGGGCTCCTTGCGGCAAATTCCTCGAGCGAAAGCTGCAGAAGCTTCTTAAAAGCAAGCTTCCACTTCTCTGCTGGTCTCTTTACGTGAACCCAATTCTCCACTGGTTTCTTTACGTGAATCAACACGCAAGAATACTGCAGCCCAGGTTCTCCCACAGGAGCATCTTTCCTTGGTGTCCGAAGAAACGAAGCGCGTGACATGTTAACAGTGAGTCAGTACCTTGGCCTGAACATAAAGTTGGCAAAACATCTTTTCGTGTTTACCATCGATGTCTTGCCTCGTCTGTCTGCAGATGTCTTGCGTCATTGTCTTCGTCGTCTCGGGTGTCTGGTTCCCTTCATGAATTTCACCCTTGGTGGAGGTCGTGGCATGATCTTGGCAACTACGCCGTGCCTGTACTGATTTGCCACATATTTTTGCTGTTTGGGGTTGATGCTGGTGTACATCTTCGTGGGATTGGGCCCGACCCGACCCCATGCCTGCACCGACCAACCTCAATTGCCAAGTTTCTCTTTAAAGGTGTGAGTTGCTTGTAAATGTACTGCAGGATCTCTGCACTCCTTGAATTGCAGGCGATGTGTCGATTTCAGAGTGCTCAGAAACCGATTCCAATCCATCAACCTCAGGTCCTCAGGTCTAAGTCTATATTCAACGGGGTGAGAACACAAAGACACAAAGCTGAAAGCAAAGGAGAAAGCAATTATATAAAGGGCTGGATGACCCCACATGTGAAGCTTTTGTATCTATAACAAGGAATGATAGCGGACGAGTGTACGAAAATGATGAAGGAAGATGTCAGTACGACAGTGGAGTATGAGTGCGCCGTGAGCGTGCGCCTGTGCCAGTGAGTCAGTGAGTCAGTGAGTGAGTGAGTCAGTGAGTCAGTGAGTCAGTGAGTGAGTGAGTGAGTCAGTCAGTCAGTCAGTGAGTGAGTGAGTGAGTCAGTGAGTGAGTGAGTGAGTGAGTGAATGAGTGAGTGAGTGAGTCAGCGAGTGAGTCAGTGAGTGAGTGAGTGAGTGAGTCAGTCAGTCAGTCAGTCAGTCAGTGAGTCAGTGAGTGAGTGAGTGAGTGAGGGAGTGAGCGAGTGAGTGAGTGAGTGAGTCAGCGAGTGAGTCAGCGAGTGAGTCAGTGAGTCAGAGTCAGTGAGTCAGAGTCAGAGTCAGAGTCAGTGAGTCAGAGTCAGAGTCAGAGTCAGAGTCAGAGTCAGAGTCAGTCAGTCAGTGAGTGAGTGAGTGAGCGAGGGAGGGAGGGAGGGAAGTGAGAGTGAGAGTGAGAGTGAGAGTGAGAGAGTGAGAGAGTGAGAGAGTGAGAGTGAGAGAGTGAGAGTGAGAGAGTGAGAGAGTGAGAGAGTGAGAGAGAGAGTGTGAGAGAGTGTGAGAGTGTGAGAGAGTGTGAGAGAGTGTGAGTGAGTGTGAGTGAGTGTGAGTGAGTGAGAGTGTGAGTGTGAGTGTGAGTGTGAGTGTGAGTGTGAGTGTGAGTG